GAGGGGGGGGTGACCTATAATCCCAGCCCCCATCCATTGGGGGCACTAAGTGACAAAAAAGGGGGGGATGACGGTCATCCCAGCCCCATCTATTGGGGCCCCAAAACACGTGAACTATTGGTAAGTGGACTTGGGTAATCCCAGCCCCCCATCCATTGGGGGGCCCTAAGTGACAAAAGGGGTGACCTATTATCCCAGCCCTCATCCATTGGGGCCCTAAGGGACAAAAAAGGGGGACTTATTATCCCAGCCCCATCTATATTGGGGCTCCTAAGTGACACAAGGGATGGGGTGACTCTCACATCCCAGTCCCCATCCATTGGGGCCCTATGACAAAGGGGTGACTCCATTATCCCAGCCCTCCTCATCCATTGGGGCCCTAAGGATGTGGGGACTTGATATCCCAGCCCCATCTATTGGGGGCCCTAAGGACAAAAGGGGGGTGAACTATTATCCCAGCTCCCCCCATCCATTGGGGGCCCTAAGTGACAAAAGGGGGGGGTGACCTATTATCCCAGCCCCCATCCATTGAGGGCCCTAAGTAAAAAAAAAAAAGGGGGGGTGACCTATTATCCCAGCCCCCATCCATTGGGGGCCCTAAGTGACAAAAGGGGGAGTGACCTATTATCCCACTGTCTCCACTCCCTGTGTTGCACACTGCCACTGGGAAGAAAGACTGATTGTATCCTCTCCCTGTGAGATGCACTGCCGCTGGGGAGAGAGATTGGTTGTCTCCTCTCCCTGTAGGATACACTGCCATTGGGGAGAGAGACTGGTTGTGTCCTCTCCCTGTAAGATGCACTGTTGCTGGGGAGAGAGACCAGTTGTGTCCTCTCCCTGTAAGATGCACTGTTGCTGGAGAGAGAGACCGGTTGTCTCCTCTCCCTGTAAGATGCACTGATGCTCCTAGTGCTTCCCGAGGGCTCCAAGCACTCCACTAGACACCATAACCACCGCAGATCCCACGAACCGCCGCTTGGTTGGGGTCTCGCCGTCTTCCACCCACTCTGGACCCAAGACCAGGATCCAGCTTCCAGTAGGCAGACCTCTCTTAATCCAGAGAGCAGGAACATGAACAAGCTCTTACAAGAGCTTAGTGATTATACTCTGGGGAGTATAGTGATTATAGCAATCCCCAGAGTGTAGGTAGTTCTCCAGTCCCCCACACATGAGCCGAAACTTTATGAAGGGTAGAACAAGTCTGAGGCTTTATTGGCACAAGTTTGCTTATATACAATTCCTCAGACCAGAGGCACACCCCCTGGACCTAATGGAACACAGGCACACACAGGCACCCATGATACAATTAACAAAGACAATGGGCTAACTCAATTAACTCTAAACAGAAAAAAACATTTTTACAAACCCCAAAAAGTACCCCAAAATACAATATCCCCTGATAGCCCCGATCTGGCTGAACAACATATCCAAAATACACCCAGATCGGTTCAGGAATTTCCTAGAAGTCTTATTTTTGCCCCACTGTGCACATGGTCCCATGCCCAAAACAGTTCCATACACTCAACGACAAAACACTGCTGGACAATTTAAGATGGGCCCCGCCACATGTTTGAATCTGTTTGTTAGAAGTCCAAGGGGCAGAAACAGTACTTTTGAACATGGGTTATCACAGGGCCCATAGTCCCAGGGTAGAAGGCTGGTAAACAGGCTGTGGCGAAACCGGCCTCGCCACGTGTCCTTGGAGGGGGCTGCTTGCCCGCCTCTTGCCTTTGGACTATGGACCAGACTTTATGTGAATGTGTTATACCCCAGATAGGAATCCCATGGAGCCCATTCGTATGAAACTGACTGTAAAGACTTTGGCTCCATGGCGATTAAACTGTATTTGTGTGGTCCGAGCGACATTCACTTAATAATGTGCGCTCAGACCTGAGCTATCTGGGGATATGTGAAATGTCTGTGTGTTATGTGTAAAATGTGACTTTATGTATTTTAAAGTGTTTTGTGTCTTTTTGCAACCATGTGCTTAATGGAGTCTTGTGTCTGTCCTGGGAGATAACACAGTCGTTTGGATTTACAAATTGAAGGCGACGCTAGTGTTTATACAGCGTCCCTGTCTACATAAAGATTTGGGAAAATGGGGTTCGTGGATCCTTGGGCACCTCGCACACCTGAGGAAGAGGGTGAATTGGACTGGAGAGATATTGCCCGGCAAGAACTATGGTACAATGCCCTGGAGGAAGTCCAGTATCAACGGCAGCAGCGCCTTCCTGTTGTCGCATACCGGTTGGAGGAACAAATGGCCTGGCGGATGCCGCTTCTGGGAGACCAACCCGGAGGGCAGCAGGTCAGACAACTTGAGTACCTCGTGGAAAGGGAACTGAGCCTTGACGCCTCATACCGGGCACTGTGGTGGTGCACTGTCCAGCCAGAGACATGGAGGGCAGAGGGCATCCAGCCGGAGGAAGCCTGGCCTGTTGTGGAAGGCCTTAGCAGAAGACGTCGACTTTGGCAGTCCAGCAGAGTCACGGTACTGGGCTATTTTTTATTACCGGGGTGAGATGGTACAGGGCCCGAGATCTATGGGACTGGGACAAGACCTCCACCGTTTGGCTGCCATGGAACGACAGCTAGAGATGGACTATGTGGAACTACTAAACTCATGTCAGCCACAGGGCATAGACACAGAACAGGAAAGCTGGCTGGGAGACCCAGACCTGCCAACCTACAGCTGGGAAAACGCAGCCGAGGTACCCCCTGCTTCACTACCAGCGGCAGAAGTAGGGGACCTCATAGACTGGTCCTGGGAAGACCCACAGATGGCAGGTGGAGATGGGATGGCGGTCTCTCTACCGGCCCTACAGGGATGCTGGGCGGTCGGCCCAGATCTCCAGCGGCAGTGTGTACCCCAGGGAGCAGAAGGTGCAGTCCTTCCTCCCCAGCGGTAGTGTGTACCCCAGGGAGCAGAAGGTGCAGTCCTTCCTCCCCAGCGGCAGTGTGTCCTGCAGGAAGCGGAGACAGTCAGTCTCGCTCCCCATCAGCAGGGCAATATATTAAAAGGGGAGACAGTTGGTCCCCCTCTCCAACAGCAGAGAGAGTGTCAGGGAGAGGAGCTTGTTATCCCCTCTCCCCAGCGGCTGAAAGTATGTATGGGAGAGGAGCTTGTTACCCCTCATCCCCAGCGGCAGCGTGTACCCCAGGGAGATGAAGGTGCCCTCCTTCCTCCCCAGCGGCAGTGTGTACCCCAGGAAGCAGAGACCATCTGTCTCGCACCCCAGCCGCAGGACAAAATATTGAAAGGGGAGACAGTTGGTCCCTCTCTCCACCAGCAAAGAGAGTGTCAGGGAGAGGAGCAGGTTACCCCCTCTCCCCAGCGGCAGTCTACAGTTCAGAGAGAGGAGCTTGTTACACCCTCTCTCCAGCGGCAACCTAACCCACCAAGGGGAGATGTTAAGCCCCACAACTATGCAGATGGGACTGTAGTCTCTGCACTTGCAGCACCAGGGGTAGGGACGGTCGGTCCTGTCCCCCAGCCACAGAGCAGTGTATCCAGAGGGGAGACAGTCGGTCTCCCCCTCCCCCAACCAGGCTCCAACCAGGCTACTTCAGTGGTGGCGCTGGCACCCGGGCAGAGTACCGCTGGTTTCTGCCCACTCAGCAACCCACCAAGGCAGTCTACCAGCCCCCCGCACAGCTGTGGTGAGGCACCTGGACATGGACAAGTTGCTATTTTATCCAGGTGTAGTAACCAGCTATTGTGGGTGGGCTGTATTGCTGTTTGTGCTTCGTGGGTGGGTTGCTGGACTAACCAGGGCACTGACCGGCAGGAGGTCAGATACCCTGTTAGTTTGGATGGTAAAGGGGAGAAATGTGGCAAAACCGGCCTCGCCATGTGTCCTTGGAGGGGGCTGCTTGCCCGCCTCTTGCCTTTGGACTATGGACCAGACTTTATGTGAATGTGTTATACCCCAGATAGGAATCCCATGGAGCCCATTCGTATGAAACTGACTGTAAAGACTTTGGCTCCATGGCGATTAAACTGTATTTGTGTGGTCCGAGCGCCATTCACTTAATAATGTGCGCTCAGACCTGAGCTATCTGGGTATATGTGAAATGTCTGTGTGTTATGTGTAAAATGTGACTTTATGTATTTTAAAGTGTTTTGTGTCTTTTTGCAACCATGTGCTTAATGGAGTCTTGTGTCTGTCCTGGGAGATAATTGAATTACTTATCTCCATGATAGAAGACTCTGAAACTGGTTTGGGCCAGAAAGCCATGCTTCATTTAGTCACAAAGGACTTTTTACTAACTTTTGAACCCCTTGTCTGATTTGTGCCAGGCGATCCGTTACACAGGCCCCTCCAAAAACCAGTGGTGAAGTGGATTTCGTCACAGAGTATGCATGTGGTGTTTGTTTATGAATGCATGGGTGTAATCACATATAAAGACACAAATACACTCAGATTATACACAATGAGACACACAGACAAAAAAATAAATGAAGTGGGGGGGAGAAATCCCATTTCTAGCCAACTGCTTGTTTCCGTATATTTTTTTTTGTTTTTTTTTTTTTTTATTGGCAGTTAGGTCAAAGGTACAACAGTGCCTGCATTGCCACATCAGCTACATCAGGCTCGAAACGGGGTATAGATAACCATATATTGGTGGGATACATTGGAGTCATTTCGATACATAAAACTTTGAGGTACTGTTGCAGTGTGTTCCCTGTGACAGACAGTTTACGTATAACACCTATCGTCTCATCAGTTTTGTGTTTATTCCGTGTTCATTCCATGTTCACCAGTAATATATGTTCATGTTAGAACTACAGTCGGGCAGAACCATAACATGTTGGAGGAAGCTGAGCTATGAGTCTCGGGGTCAGGTACCTACGTTGGTCACGGGTGGGCTGGGAGGGGTCTTCCCAGTAACCGTTTGTGTGTATGTCATTGGGAAGGGTCATTCCCTAAGGTCAGGGTGTGCGGGGGGTTGACATATGTGTTCCTCCTTGTGTGTCGTATACCTATTTTGTTCGTCCTTTATTTATCATTTATCGCTTGTGTATCTTTTATAAATCTGACCCATGGGTCCCAGACATCCTGAAAAAGTGATAGTTTGTGGGCGATAGAGCCGTGGATTTCCTCCATGGTTCTGATTGTCTCTACTTTGGCGATCCATTCTCTAATTGATGGGGCGTTGGGGTTTTTCCATTTGACAGGAATGAGTAGATTGGCTGCAGTTATAAGGTGGGTGAGGAGGATATGATGCGATTTGGGCAAAGGGCTTGGGAGGATCAGGAATAGTAGCGCCTGTGGGGTAATTGGCACTTGGATTCCCGTAATTGTTTTGAGCATTTTCACTATATTGTTCCAGTATTTCTGGAGTAATGGGCAGGTCCACCAGGTATGAGCTAGTGAGGCTCCCCTTTGGGTGCATTTCCAGCATATGTCATGTGTGTTTGGGAATAGGCTGTGTATTTTGGATGGTGAGTAGTGCCATCTGGCAATTCTCTTGTAGTTACCCTCCTGGATCGCGGTACATATCGAGGTGGCGTGCGTTTGACGGAAAATAGTGTTCCATTGGGGGTTTGTAATTTGGGTGTTTAGGTCTTTGGCCCATGAGTCCGTGAAAGGCGGTAATGCCGTAGCGGCTTCCAAGCCGCGGAGTTTATAGAATGTCGATAGTAGTTTTGTTTTAACATTACTCGTTTTACAATGTACTTTGAAGTTTGAGAGCGCGCGAGCACCTCTGTACAGGATAGGGTTGTCCCTGATGAAGTGGGTCACCTGGGCATAGAGAAAGTATTGCATTGGCGTGTGAGTGTCTAGTCTTGTCAGGTTGGAGAGGGGGCGAATGCGGTGGCCTTCCAATAGGGTGCTAAGTTGGAGGTACGTCCCATCTGGTGTGTTCTGTAAGGTGAGGTACGGCTTGGCAGTCATGCCTGGGGCGAAGAGTGGGTTATGGGTAATGGGGTATAGGGGGGATGGGTGGGGGGACAGATTAGCCGAATTACGGATACGCGACCAGGTGAGGAGCGTGGGTCGGATCGTCGGATGTTTAGTGTGGTTGGGGAGGAGTGTTGATAAGGTTGATTGCTGCCACGGGATTGTATGTATGGGGGAGTTAAAAATGGAGCTTTCCAGCTTTATCCACTGACGTGTTGGGGGGTGAGTCGACCATTCATATATACGTGATAGGACCGTTGCTTCGTAGTAATGTTCAAGATGTGGTAGACTCAATCCACCTTGAGATTTATGTCTGGTGAGGATTTCATATCTGATCCTCGGCTGTTTATGAGCCCATATGAAGGTTGTAAACAGTGTCCTTAGTTTAATAAAGAATATCTTGGGTATAGCTATGGGTAGGGTTTGGAATAGATATAGGATCTTAGGGAGGGTATTCATTTTTAAGATATTAATCCTGCATAGCCAGGAGTATTGTGGTTTATTCCACGCTTGTAGGTCTTTTGAGATAGATTGGATGAGTGGTTCGTAATTTAGGACAAAGGTGGTTTCCGTATATTTTCTATGCAGGAGGGTGGCTTCTCTGGAGTCTAGTGGGAGCAGGCTGCAGCTAAAGGGATTGGGCTGCTATTCTGCCAGGCTCTCTCCCTCCATGCTCTGACTCTTCGTGTGCCTCTTGCTGTAATACAGCGAGAGGCCTGGTCTGGTTGCCAGGTAATGAAGGATGGGTTCCAGGCTTAATTTTTGTTAGAACAAAGATACAGTTGGCAACCAAGAGTAAGTGGTTGCTAACTCTGAATAGTTAGATAATTACCTAGGTCTCTTCGGTGCTGCTTCCTGTCCCCTCCATACAGCTAAGATAAACATTCAGATTACACTTTAGTTACAGTATTCGTTTTGTGCAAGTTTTCGGATCATCAGAACGGCTAATGGCACGAAAACTACTACAGTGGCCTTAATGGTTATAGAGCTTAGAATGCTCCTTAAATGTATATATTCAATATCTGTGAGTGCTGTGTGTGTGAAATCATTTCACGTGTGTGAATATTTATTTATGCAATGCCACGGTGTCTACATGTATGGATGTCTTTCAGAAGTTATATGTTGTCAGTGGGTGTCAATGTCTCTGCATGTGTACAATGTCTGTATGCATGTATTTTGGTGTGCGTGCAAGCAATATCAATTTTAATGAGATGCATGAAATTACAGAGGAACAAATAAACAGAAAATAAATTTACAACTGCGTAAGGTATTAATACATAGAAACTCCAGAACCCTCTCTCATGAAGGAGTTAAGCGTGTTCTGTTCTGTCGGTTGCTTTTTTCTGACCTACAGACATAGCTGAGGTAGGGATACGGTCAAGCTGTATGCTCGTTGGATTCTTATATGCAGAGCTGCCTCGTTCATCTACACAAATTACCTCTGTACAGGAAATGTCATGGCTATAGAATGCCAGTAAAATGTGTCATTCACATGTATGATTATTTTATTACATGCAAACATATAGAGGAGAAAAATGCTTACTGCTCTGATAGGCTTAAAGTTCTTTTACATTAATATACAATGGCCCTTCTTGTAGACTAAGATATAATCCTATTGTATGATTAGAATTTACAATCCTATGATATATATATTATTCCACAGATTGAGAGGTGCACTCGAAGGTCTTTTAATGGGATTTCTTTATTGTGATTAGTACATCAAAGAACTATCTGTCCCGATCAACGTTTCGACCCCGAGGGTCATTTTCAAGACTCTTAGGGGTCGAAACGTAGATCAGGACAGATAGTTCTTTGATGTACTAATCACAATAAAGGAATCACTTTAAAAGACCTTCGAGTGCACTTCTCAATCTGTGGAATATATATTGGTATGCTTGTTGCACCAAGTCAAGAGTATTGGAAAAATTGTTAAAAAGGGGTGAGTGCCAAGGTTACAGTAAATACACACACACCAAAATTATAGACGCAACACTTGTTTTTGCCCCCATTTTTCATGAGCTGAACTCAAAGATCTAAGACTTTTTCTATGTATAAAAAAGGTCTATTTTTCTCAAATATTATTCACAATACTGTCTAAATCTGCTCACTAACACAGATTTAGACAGATTTGTGAATAATATTTGAGAGAAATAAGCCTTTGGTGTAAGTCTTTGAGTTCAGCTCATGAAAAATGGGGGCAAAACCAAAAGTGTTTATAATTTAGTTTTTTAGGAATGAGCCATGCTATAACCCTAAGTACAGGCCAGGGTGAGACTCTTGTCTCTATGTCCCCCATCAATACTGAGGTGTTATGGTGTATGAAGAGGTTCAAATAGAAATGTTTTATAGGAGGGTGAGGTTCTGCGGAAGTGTTTGTGTGTCCTCCCCCATCCTTCTGACTGATCAGCTGCTATAAATATCCCAAGAAATGGCTGAGCCAGAACCTGAATAAAAAGCTGGCAATGAACCAAATAGCAAGTTATGGATCCTGCTGTTTTCCTGCTATTGCATGCAGTAGAAAATATAGATTAGGGAACAGTGCATATAGGCAAAAAACTGTTTGAATTCTTATAAGGCTACTTAAAATCACCTATCTTGGCAAACAAATATAGGGATTAAATTACACCACATGGCTATATTGTGTTAAGCCCTCCACTAGGTCACAGTACCCCAATATCGGCGGGTCCTACACAAATTTTAACATGGGAGATAAACACGCTAACCGCAAGACTTACTGCTTAAATTGTTTCCATAGACTCTCCTCAATTCATGCTCTACTGTGGCCCACCCATGTTAAAATTAGTGTCCGACAGGGTCGGTCTTAGGGGTGTGCGAGCTGTGCGGCTGCACAGGGCGCCATGGAGCAGGGGGCGCCATACAGCCGACACAGCTCACACATGGCCGGGTGACAGGAGAGCAGGGGAGCTAAAACAGGTCCCGGGTGGAGGATTTCATTATTCTCCACCTGGGTCTATATATATATATATATATATATATATATATATATATATATATATATATATATATATATATATATATATATATATATATATATATATATATATATATATATATATATATATATATATATATATATATATATAAAATACAAAAGATGGTTGCACTCACGGTTTTTGAATTAAAAGTCCAAAGTTTAATGTCACATACTAAAAGCTGAGATCAACGTTTCAGTCCTTCCATGAGGACTTTCATCAGGATCCTGATGAAAGTCCTCATGGAAGGACTGAAACATTGATCTCAGCTTTTAGTATGTGACATTAAACTTTGGACTTTTAATTCAAAAACCGTGAGTGCAACCACCTTTTTGTATTTTTGTATTCTTTGGGCTATGCATGGTTGGCACCCGGTCACAAAGGGACATTTCAGCGTGAGTGCAGGAACTATTTTTGCTTTTTTATATATATATATATATATATATATATATATATATATATATATATATATATATATATATATATATATATATATATATATATATATATATAAACGAGAGACAGCGGGGGCGGGGCTTATTGTGAGGCAGAGGTAACTGCTGCACAGGAAGAGGGAAGAAGGAAGGAGTCCCTGCTTCCCCAACAACCAACTGCATCTACTTCCTCTTGCAGCCATAATGGAAAGAGGTAAGTCTGTGTGTTTGTATGTGTGACTGTCTGCCTGTGTGTGTGACTGTTTGCCTGCCTGCGTGATTGACACTGTCTGTGTGACTGACTGCCTGTGTGACTGCCTATGTGTGGCTGTTTGCCTGTATTTGTGTGTGTGACTGCCTGTGTGCCTGCCAGTGTGACTGTAACTGTGGGTGACTCCAATTGTGTATGTCACTGTAGCTATGCCGTTGTGTGCCTGTATGCGTGACTATCTGCTTTTAACTGAGCATGTGTGACTGTCTGCCTGTAACTGTGTGTGTGACTGTCTTACTGAGCGCCTAATGTCCTAAGGCCGGCCCTGCCTATTGGCATTAGGCTACTGTGCTCACACAGAGAAGCTGTAGCTGCAATCGCTAAAAAAATAATCATATTGGCCATGATATAAAGGTGTCAGAATGCACAGTACATAGCAGATTGATGCATATGGCACTGCGTAGCTGCATTCTATGGAGACGTGAGCATCAGAACCGTACCATAGAGCAATGCCTGGTCTGATGCATCACATTTTCTTTTAAATGAGGTGGATGGCCATATGTATGATTTACCTGGGGAAGAGATGGCAGCAAGATGCACTATAGAAAGAAGGTCGGAAAGCGGAGGCAGTGTCATGCTCTGGGCAATTTTGGATCTGCTGGAACAACAAATCCGACCCATGAAGGCCCCATCTTGCAACTTGCAGAAATTAAAAGGATCTTCTGCTAATGTTTTAGTGCCAGATACCACAGGACAAATTTAGAGGTCTTGTCAAGTCCATAAAAAAACAAAAAATACAGTGCGATGTGCCTTTAAGACCAAAAGCAATTAATGAATAATATAAATACCATATACAAGTGGATAACATTCACATAAACGACAAAAAATAAAGTGCACTGTGCATTTAAAACTATAAATCAATTGCTGAATAATATGAATACCACATACATTTGTAGTAACAGGAGTGAATTGTGCTAATACAAAAAAAAACAATAGTGTTACAGTGCACTAGTGATAAAAACCCCACTGATATTTGCAAAGTAAGGACAAAATGTTAATACCTCACTTTTAAGAAATGCTTGAAATTTCTTCTGTCAGAACTTCAGTGCAATTCTCAAAAGAAAAATCAAAAACAAAACTCATAGGGCAATATGCATTAACAATAAATATTGTGAATATAGATCGTAAACACTCACAAGAGTAGAGCAATTAAATCTGCTCTGAACTGTGTTGGCATCTCAGGTAATGTATATAGAGGCTTTAGGCTGTGATGAAAATAAAAATCCTTTATTAAACACTCCAATAGTTAAAAGCAGTTGTCAGGAGTGTAAGTCCTCTTTACATGTCTCCTCCTGA